TATTAATTTTTACTTTATAAATGAGAAAACTAAAATTGAGAGAAGTCAAGTAACTTGCTCAAGGCCACACAGGTAGAAGGTATCGCGGACAGTGTTGAGGTACAGATCTGCCAACTCCAGGCCCAGTGCTCTTTCTACGGACCCAGAGCTGCTGTGCACTGAGTCCCTGGAAGATATTTGACTGATTTCTTGAAACTTGGTTAGCTGTGGCTCAGCACCCATGGATTTAGAGCAGGATCGATCTGGTCAAGTGGCAGGATTCAGAGAAAATAAGACTATTGATTATAAAGTATAGACCTACACAGTATGTGTGTACATGTGAATATATATTCACACATACATACGCACACGAATATATGAATACATCACTATAAGTACACTATATTTGTACTATAATGTTAAATTCAAGATTGAAGACACTAACATGTTAGTCTATTAAAGAGATGTTTAAATGATCAGGTCCTCCGGTGTATTTTCCTCCCTCCCTTTCCTTCCAACCAATTTTTCCAACTTTCATTCTTATAAACAAAATAATCATATCCAAAGAAATAAATTTTACTTTGTTTTCTTCACAACATAGATGATTGAGGGGGCACAGGGGCTCTAAAAATGAGAGAAGAAAAGTGGTTTTGCTACTTGGCTCAGAACTCAGATGTAAAGTGCTCTGATCAGAGTCCGTCACTGCTGCTCAGACTCCAGGCCTTTGGTGCCTCCAGAGTGCCACACCTCAGTTCTCCCGTTTTCCTGCTGGCAAGAGCCTGGCAGTGACCAGAAAAAGAGCCAGACTATTTTTGATAGGTCTCATGGATTCGCCCAATTCGAAAGCTACCTTACATCTACTAAACAACTAAGAACATAGGCAGCCAAGAAATGACCAGGGTTCTTAGGCCCCAGCCTGGATAAAAAGTGCTCCAGGGCCACTGCTGTAGAAATTATGATGCTTCTAATCTCTGCCCTCCTCACCCTTTCGTCCAATGAAGGAGATTGGACTGACGCTAATCTAAATTTGAGCTTCCCATCGCGAACCACCCTTGTGTCCTAAGAAAAGACTGTAGCTGTAGAGTAAAAAAGCTCTGGGTTCAAATCTTAACTGTGAGACCATAGGCAAGTTACTTTACTTCTAGAGTTCTAGAGTTGTAGGTTTGTAAAATGAGAATAACTTCTGTGCACAGAGTTACTGTGACTGTTGACTAAGTGCTTAAAGCACCTGTCATAGAGAAAAGACTTGATCAATGTTAGCCACCACCTGATTCTCCCAGTACACACCCTAATCACTGCTCCTAAGTCAGCCAGAGTCTAGATTTAGTGGAGCACAACCTAAACCAAGGAGGTCGTGCTGCTGTAGAAGCATCCTCATGCTGAGCTGCATCAGCACTGCATAAGGAATTCTTTGCCGCTGATCAGATTTTTACCAGAGATTTGTATTCAAGACTAAGCGGGCAAATGAGAGGGAGAATAGCAAAGTTATAAACAGTTATAAATTAGAACCTCTGAGAGAATCTTAAAGAAACTGTCTTTCACTTGGTGAAAAGAAGATTGAAAGTGAATCTAACAACTCTTCAAGTCCACGCATACGGAAACTGAGTCAGATAGAGGCCCTAGCCACTAAGACCAGAAAAAGGGGGAAGAAGTTGAATTTGCATTAGAGAAGGAGGAGGAAAGATGAACTTAAGGCAAAACTTGTCTAGAAAATGGCTATAAAAGACTGGGATGGGTGACCGCAGAAGCCTACAGGATTTTCTCTTTTGGAATTCCATAAAAACAGGGAGCCCCTGTTTGTCTGGGTTGAGAGAGGTACTGACCTGGCTGCATGGTCAGCTCAGAAGTCTGAGCAGGAGAGAAGGAGGAGGTGGGCAATATTGCAAGGATTGTTCTTGAACCCTGGAAAACACAAGTTAAAAGCACTTAGAAAACAAGGAAAGGAAGCAACATTAGAGTGATCTGTGACTCAGAGATCTAGAAACCAAATGCTAACTTAAGGAATGGGGCATGAGGAGGAAGTATGGGCAAAGGGGAGGAAAGAAACAATCCATTTTGTTTCCAAGTGACAGAGGCCACACCACTCCTGGCAGAGCCATCCTAAACCCTCTACTGTGGGCCTTAGTTTGCTTTTCTGTGATATGAAGTGCTTGGGTTAAGCGCTCGCTCTAGTCCCTTCCAAGGAGGAATTTATAGTCACAAAATTGATCCAGATGAAATGCGAGCATAACTGTGAAAAGCTACCTCAACCCCAAACTCAGGCAGTACTGGATGAGTGGATGCTGCACAGAGGGCCAATGCATCTGCACTAGGGCCAGACCCCAGAGTTTAGGAGTTGAACCCTGATCCTCAGCCAAGAGCAGGTTGCTGATCTTCTCTGAACTTCAAAATCTTCATTTGTAACATGGGGATAATAATAGCACATTTGGGGTTGTGAGTTTAAATTAAATAATGCAAGTAGAATACTTGGTATAATAATATCTATAGTTTCCATGTATCGGGCAGGAAAGTATCAATCAAATTGTACCTATTGTATTAATATTCTTGGAATAAGAATTTTTTAAAATTTTTTAAATTAGATTTATTGAGGTAACGTTGGTTAATACAATTACATAATTTTCAGGTGTACATTATCATTTGATATCTGTATATTCTATTGTGTGTTTACCACCCAAAGTCCAGTTTCCTTCAGCTACCATATATTTGATCCCCTTTACCCACTTCACCCTCTCCCTAAACCCTATATCTGACCCCCTTTACCCCATCAACCTCCCCCCACTTTCCCCACCCCACTAGTAACCACTAGTCTATAGTCCTCTGGTAACCACTAGCCTATAGTCCACGTCCATGAGTCTCTGTCCAGCTCATTTGTTGCTTTTAGGTTTATATCCCACATATAAGTGATACCATGTGATTTTCAATTTTTCCTGTCTGGCTTATTTCACTTAGCATGATTATTTTGAGGTCTATCCATGTTGTCACAAATGGCAGTATTTCATCTCTTCTTATGGCTGAGTAATGGAATGAGGATTTTTAAACCTTTTACTTTCTCACCCTTTTATTTCTATCGCTTTTGACTTTGTAGAATATATTACAACCAAATCATATACGTAGTTTACTGTGATGTTAGTGGTAGTGTTTTTTTTTTAAAAAAACATGCTTCCTTTTTCTTGTTTTAGCAGAATGAAAACTAATTCATTCAGCTTTCCTGAATGGCATATTAAAATACACAACCCATGTTTACTTCTCCAGCTGCCTCTACATATTCTCTGTCCTTGTTAATTTGTGAAGTAGAGCTAAGAGAATAATCACTTAGCAGCTCTCGGATGCCGGAGACTCTGAATCTTTTTCTGTGGTTGCTGTCGTTGCGTTGTTAGCAAGTCCCTGTCACTGGGATCCGTGTTGCCCTTCTAACGTGGCCGGTGAAGTTCGCCAGTATTCTGTTGAGGTCACCATTTTGGCTGCTCTTCTCTACACCTTGGCCTGTCCCTTTGCAATTTCATCTTGCTCCTTTTAACAGTGTTTCCAACCCCAAAACCCCTACTGATTCTTCTAAGGACGGACGCCCCACTCCCAGCTTCACACCGGCGGCCCTGGGATGTGCACCGGGTCGATACAGAATTCAGCTGCACCAAGCTGAGAGGGCGCTGCGTCTTCTGAGCCAGGGTGGGGCACCAGGTTACTAGCGGCCTCCAGCCTTTTGGGTTTACTTCCCCGCAGGGCACACCGTAGGCGGCTGTGCGGTCCGGCCACTGCCCCCCGCCCCTCGCGTCCGGCCGCGCCGTGGGTTGCGGTCGCTGTGGGGGTGGCAGCTCCTGTCCGGGAGGTTTGCGCCTGGCGGGGCACCCCGGAGCCGCGGGGAGCCCAGAGGCGAGGCCAAGGTGGGGTGGGGCGCGTCCGGGCGGGGAGGGCAAACTCTGGCAGAGCAGGGGCCGCCGAGGGCAGCGGGCGGGCGGACGCGCGGCGGAGGAGCAAGCCGGACAAGGGCTGGCTAGTGCC